TGAAATCTGGCAAATGAGAAGCTGAGGATGGTGGTCAATACGAACTATCCCTGTCTAGGGTCGGAGCCTCGGGCTACCGTGCATGAACTACATGGCGAGACCGTGTCCAACATGCAACACTCGTTCAGCTTTGGGGGATGGCGTTCTTCATGAGCCGTCATTGCATGAGACAAACGGTATCCAACCACTCTTAATCCAGAAGAGCTAAGAGTGGCTGGCCGAACAGCCTGGAGATAGCATCTGGCACAAATAAAAGCGTGAGTAATGCCGCAATTGCACGGCTTCCCCGCCTGTAAACCCGCATGGAAGGATCGATCTGCACGTTAGCGTATCTATAGCAGTAGGGAATGCTGTCATACTTCTCCGCGGGCTGGACTTTGCTTGCTAGTCAGTTTGACCTTCTCGTACGGGTAAGTCCGTGGATAATTAGGGATCCAGCCCTCAAATGTCGATAAAGGCTGAAAATGTCAGGCCGTAAGTCTCGTTTACGGCATCCAATCTACGTACTTTACCGCGCGAGAATGCCAAGCGCGGAAGTCATCCACCTATAGGTCAGCAAGGAAGTTATTCGACTACACCTGTCTTTGTGGCTGAACTATGCGTGCTAGCCAACCTGGCCTGATCACGCGGGGCTCATATAGCCGTCTGTAAGACGAATGAGGCCCACATATCTATCATGGTGAGCCAGATAACGAAGGCAACAGTAGCTCTGAGGAAGGCAGTAAAACCATCATATCCGCAGGCAAAATGGAGTCATCTTTGATGCCTAGAATGAGTCCGGAGCAAGAAACTCACATGGCAAAAAGCTGGCTTAGAGGACATGGCCATCGACTCCGGTTGCCGCTTACCCACAAGACCCAGCCACAGCCATCAGCCCCGATCGAACCCGCAAACACCCAGCAAGATCTTAAGGAAGAGTGAGGCGATATGATGCTCCTGTCCCACCATGTTCTGACCCTTTTATTTTAGTATTGACGAGGTAGATGAGTTTTGCCAAGTCATCCAATGCTATTCGAACGAGACAAAGAGTAGTAGTGAGCATGATGCTAGACATGGGGGCGTAAGGTTCGACATATATGGCGCGCACAGCTGGAAAGAGGTAGTTAGCATCGTGCAAGCGGTCGAGAAAGACTACAACCACAGCGCCACTGGTTGGAAGGGAGCTGCGAGATGGGCCTTTCGCAAACTCGGTGAGCATGCAGAGGACTTCAACCCTTGGTTGGACCTTTTGCCGGATGACAAGTATTTTAGCATTGCTTGTGGAGGGCTCAAGATAATACTTGGTGTTAGTATACTCTGTCCCTAGCTTCATGCGTACTGATTGAAGTAGATGGCAGCGCGAAGAAGCGAACAGCGGGAGGTTATTCTTGCATTCTTTGCTGAAATTCCAGAAATTATCTTCTGGACCGATCGCTACCATTCTCTTTTCCAGGACGAGGAGGATTTGAAGTCCTACCTGTACGAGTTTTACCTCGCTCTCCTGGCCAGAATCCAGGGCACAATTGCAGCGTTGGTGGATGTATCACTGTGTAGGTATTATCGGCGTTTAGCTGCAGCGGAGATGACACAAATCCAGTCCTGTACTAACATGCATATTTGAATCAGGGAGAAAGATTATCTCGGGTCTGAGTGTCAAAAATGCAGACAAATCGCTTGGACACGTCAACCAACGCTTCACGCGGGCCAGGACCCAGCTCGACAAACATCTCCAATTCGTGCGCGATCGGCTGCAAGTGGATACAAACCAACGAGTCGTTTATATTAAGCCAATCGTGGACGATCTTGCAACAGGGCAGAAAAAAGTGATTCAGCAAAATTCAGATTTGCGGAATGACATGCGCGAGGGCATAAATCGACTGGAAAGGCGGTTGAAACCATGGGGCATTGTCGCGGAGCAGATGGAGCAGGTCCTTCAGAATGAGTTGCAGAAAGCGCAGTGTAGGTTCTTAGTGCTATTTCTGTTTAATACAGACATTGACCTTGCATTTCAGGGCGAATTAACAGGGAGAACATACAACGAGAGAATCGGCAGTGGCAGATCCTGCGCCAAGGGTATCCCAGAAGTGACCTCTACTTCTTCCTTCGCTTGAATGAGCAGGACGTGCGGCAGCAGCTTATTCAAGACCTCGATGATACGGGTCGTGATGGACAAGATATTGATATGGCTGCTCAAACCCACGCTCAACAACTTCTCCGTATGCCACAATTTCAAGATTGGATCCGGTCTGACCAGCCAGACATGCTCCACGTCGACGGAAACTGTGACAACTATGCAATGGCGAGATGTTCTCCATTCAGTCTCCTTTGTTGCGTACTTGTCCACGAGCTACTACAGCAACCACAAGCCCAGGTTCTATTCTTCTTCTGTGGACTGCACAATCTGGCTGGGGAGCCCATGGCAGGGCCGGTAGGTCTTGTCAAATCGCTTATCATACAACTGCTTCTGGATAGGGACGATAACTATGATCTCCTTTTTTTGACCATTGGGCGGAGAGAAGAAGCGTTGTATCAAAATGACCTTCCCTCCCTGTGTGAGACATTGAGGGAAATGCTGGTCCAGAACCCTTCCGCTGCTCTTTTCTGCATCATCGACGGTGCATCGATCTTCGAGGTGCGAGAATGGCATGAAGAGATGGAGTATGTTGTTCAGCAGTTGTTCAACCTAACGACTGATCCGGACATTGCAACGGTGTTCAAGGTACTTATCACGAGCCCGGGTATTAGCCGACTCGCAAGTGGTGTACCTCAAGAATGTCGCCTGTATGTGCCAGAAACCAACGAGAGGATCTCGGATGCGGGCTTCCGGAGCCCGGAGGCATTTCAAGACGAAGTTTATCGACGTCGAGATGACTTGGCAAATACTGCGGAAAGATATGAGGTCAATCCATATGAGGCAATGTACAAGGTGGACATGTATAGTGAGGAATATGAGTAGAAAGTGAGCAGGCACTATTAAGAAGTATAATCGATCGTAGTAATGAACTATGATAACAACAATTCTTTCGATGAATATCAGTTGTAGAGTTGAAATTAATATTACGGTTGGAATTATTTGCAGTTGCAAAAGATAGTACTTACGCATGTCTCCATACTACACTGCTCTTTGATATCCTATATCCACACAACAACAATGACCTACTTGGTACAACATTCACTCGAGCCAATTTCCATCATTTCTTGCCGCCACTGAATCATTACTAGCATAGGAGCAAATATGCCACTCGCTCACCTCATCTAGCTATATTTGCCCTCAATATAGCCAGCTACTTACATCATAAAACGTAAAAGACAACAAACATGACAAAACCAACCAGTAAAAAACACAATACACCGACGCAACATACCAGCAAGTACAACCCTATGGTAAATAACAAATGTAGGCTGCCTAATAACCCGCCAAGAAGGCAACTACGCATACATGCATGCACAAAAGGAATGAGTCAGAAAGAAGCAGAATCAAACCCGGCCCACTGGCACATCTTTCTTTTTTAATTTCTTTTTCTTACAAGGATGAACTCCTATTCGGTTCCGGCCCGTTGGGTCGCCATACATGAAAAAGAAATGTCCACATTGATCATCTGAGTTTTTGCTTTCTTTGTTTTATTCTTGTTTTTGCTTTTATTCAAGGTTTGGTGGCTCGGGTCGGTGAATACATGCTTAACAAATAACTTAAGATGAGTGTGAGTATCTGTGGGTTCGGACTTGGTTACTTTCTTGGGAGGGGTGCGTTGGATGGCTTGTTCCTTTTTATTTGTTGTCAGTCTTATATTATGTTTATTATATGTTACTGTGGTGGGTTGTGTGGTCATGCTACTCTGTATAAATGGCATGATAAGAGCAAAATCAGATAGATATTTAACCAACACATTCGAATCCCGTGTATTCCGTATCAACAGAGTTTACCAGGATCCCCCATCCCAAGTAACCCTGACCCGACATGCCAAGAAAATGATCATGCAATGCATGGATTGCCCTGTTTCTGGTTGATGGCAATCAGTCAGTTGACAAATCGCCAGATACTTCCGGTAGGCAGGGTGGCTGCAAGAGAACCCTTCCACCAGAGCGGTGACGATTCTTTCAAGCAGCAGGCAAGCACCTGGTGATTATGCGAGGGTAAGCGGAGAAAAAGTAAACATGATGGCTGGGAATGACGCAAGTGGGCGGATCAACGCGGTTATATACAGGATAAGTCTTTACTTGGGATGAGTGTAAAGTATTGAAAGATCGGGAATTTGTCATTGAGTTGGTTTTTGTATGTCTCTAATGTGATTATTTTCAACTTTCTTGTGTTTATTGCTGTATATGATCTCCATGCTAGGAAGTGGCTTTCTTTGAATATCTCGTGAGATTTATTCAATTTAGGATACTCTTGAGCATTGTAAATATGTATCAATCTGCATTGCATTAAGTAAAAGATTTCAGAGGAATAAGGAAATCGTCCAAGATACTCAGTAGATATCCGCAATTCTCCGGCGGGTCGTCGACGGACCGGACCGTTTGGAGTGACCCATGGTAACTACAATGTATTTCCATGTATACCTCAAGGTATGATACTTACAGTGGCAGTTTGAGGAAATATGTATATAGATAAGGCATGCCATGATCATCACCAGGATGACGCTTCACGACTCGGAAGATCGGCCAATTTGAAAGAAGCAAGAATTATCTAGCCCCCTTGATCGACGTAAGGGGCATTCTCCTGAATACAAAATTGTCATCATCATGATAAAGTAAAGTTACACAAGATTATCAGAAACCCTTCCGTAAGTATACACCGGATTTTGTCAGGGAAGTATACACCTGACACTCATTCCGCCCTTCGTGTCGACAATATCTTTTTTGGTTGCTTTACCAAAAGAGGCAACATATTGCGTTAAGAGGCAAGGTTATGAAGCCTTAAAGCGATTCGATCTACTATCAATCATTAAAGATGCGATTTGCTGGAACATAAATGAAACACTTTTTTGAGTTTATTCCTAGACAGTCTTCCAGGCTGTCCGCTAGCTGTCAATGGAAGAGGAGCCTTGCACATCACACCTCGCGTTCTTCAGGCTATTGCACAGCCTTTCAACCAAACATATAGTGTTAATCAAGTCATTGCACAGCTTATCCACATACTGATTCTCCTCTCTTGAAATCCATACATAATGCACATCTCCCTTCTCCTTAAGCCGGCCATCGAGAACCGCTGCTTTCTCAAGGAGATCTCGATTTGCTAACTCAATTCCTTTACGATTTATCCATCCGTTATTGATCCACTTGTAGATCCACTTCTCCATACAATTAACTGCAAATGTCGAGTCGGAGTAAATCGTGACATCCAGCCGAGGATCCGAATATAGATGGTCAGATTTATCTAGAGCCATCCTTAGACCGAGGATTATGGATGTGATCTCGGCTCCTTGATTTGTCGGGGCGGGATGTGAAGGTAATACTTCTTTTGTCTCCCTATGAAATATACCGGACACGCTCTTGAAAGCAGCGGCTGCAGCCCCGATCGAGCCGGGCTGGCCGTTGGCTCTACAGCCACCGTCAACGTGGATCTTCATGATGTAAACCATGGTGTGATGGTGGTTCGAGAGGAGGACGTGGGATTAGGTCTATGACTACTGCGGATACGCAAGCCTTCTTGTAGGCGCCTCCAGGCATCCAAAGCGTGCCTTTCCGCGGATATCTCCATTGGCTGTATAGTATCAATCCCAGAGGTTTGTCTGGGTACTCCATGAGATCTTAGAAAGTTGGTGCTTCGAATATTTGAACGGGCATTTCCCGGAAGATTCCCTGTGTTTGCAATGCGTGATTAACTATTACCTCTTTCATGTTTGTCAGTTTTTCCAAGCAGATGTCTCAAGCTATTGGCAAGTCCCAAGATAGAAAATGCTGATAGATAATTCTGATGCATCTGAGAAGATCACCTAGTTGTCAAACCTTACTATACTGTGATTGAAACGGTTTCATGCTATCGAGCTACATATCAACTACATAAGATGTACGAGACCAGTATCTTAGTGTAAATCACTAGTATGATAATATACAATAACATTGTCTGCTATTACACCCTCATTCCAGTTGCTTTCCTGTCATATTAATTCTCCTTAGCCGGGGTGACTCTAGTACTAGTCAAACCTAACAAAAACCATTATAACCATCTCGACTCGAGACACCACCCCTCATAAACACTGTAATTACCCCATCCCTACTTACATCCACCTGCAACCCACATCTACAAATACCCTCCTCAATCCACCAAATAATCATCCGATCATCCGACGCCCACCACCCCAGAACAGGAAACACCCCCTCCGACTGAGCCAGAGCATTCCATTCCATTACATCCGATCCCGAGGACCACTCGTAGAATAACACTTCCGTTACATGGATGAAGTGGATCCCCGGGTAGGCAAGGTATTACCAGATATGGATAGGCACATTACCTAGTAGGTAGAGACGGGTACGGGTAGAGCAGTTAATGGGTACGTACCTTTGTACTTTTACTCTAGACTTACGCGGGAGTCCGTGCTATCCTACCTGAGTATTAGGTACTTTAGGTATCAGCGATAGCGTAGATCGCCAGATAATAATAACACTAGAGAAGTAATCTGTTTCCTCCCAGGGACTCTAGCGAGTCATGACATGACATGTTGATATCGGGGAGAAAGGAAGAATAGGGGGAAAGATCGGGGTGTGGGAGTGGGAGTGGGAGTGGAGGGAAGATCAGCATTGGGGAATTATCCTCTTCGGGGTAAGCGTAACGGCTGGTAGTCTGTTACTTTTTTGGGAAATAGGATGTACAGACTACAATAGGGTGGGTGTAGTGGATGTGGGGGGGATATGACAGCTGGATTATGATTGATTTGGAGTTCTGGGTTACCTGGTACTTACTACCTACCTACTTGTACTTAAAGGGATAAAAGGTGTAAAGCAATAGTAGAATTTGTATAACTTGAGTACTAGTATAAGTTATGAATTACATCTACACCATACATCAATTCATATAATGCAAAAACAACATTAATCCCTACTTAATTGAAAATACACAACTCCATACAACCTCTAATTCCAAAATTGTATCAAAAAAAAATATGTACATATGCCCACTGTTAAGTATAATAATAACACCCGGAATATAACCTACAGACCAGACCAGCACAATGCCGAAAGAGTACTATACTGCTGCTGGTGGTGGCACAACACCCCCTCACTCACACCACACGCACCAGGCCACGCCAACAACCTAACCCAACCCAACCCAACGGGTCACTCAATTCCATCGCTTTGGACTCATCCATCCCGGTACTTAACATACCGTCTTATGCATCGGCATTCCGCATTGGGTCCTTGGCACAGCGAGACTACCGTCTACCTGCGTATTCATGTGGGGATTAGTAGACCCTATTCCTGGTTCAATATGACGATAGTAACTTCAACTACATTTCTTTGTCTTGTGGTAAGATAAGTACGTTACACAATATTTATTCATCTACCTATGTATCTACAAAGGTGAGTGAGTGAGTGAGTGTCAAGACCCACTTTAACTACTTCCTTCCTTCCTTCCTACTGTGTAGTGTGTACACAGTACACAACTGTAGGATAAGTAGCTGAGATTTTATTTCCTCACATTAATCAAGAAAATGAATAATCTTCATAATATAAGCACTATAACCCCTCCCTTCCAACAGCCTACCTAGTACCTACTACTAACTAGCACCACACTACTACCATCCCAATTCCCACCATCCGTCCATGAATGATCCGTGCATGAACATGAACATGAACATCCGCTATCCGGCCGAAGCCTCCTCTCCTTACGGGATTTGGTCGGCGTTTGCAATTCGACACCCCAAGAAAAATTCCACTATCTGCGCGAGTCAGGGGTAGCATGTCGCCAGCCTCATTGGCAGTACACACGTATCGAATAATTTATTTTAGTGCGTAGGGGCTATTCAATTTTTTAATTTATCGGGGTTCCGGTTTGCTGGGTCCGGGAAATTGGATCAAATCAACTTTAGCTGGGCTGTAATCAAGTTAGTATCTAGTATACACACCGCGTGAGGGATGTGATGTGGGCAGTGTCTGCATCCATCCATCAATTCATATGCACAGTGCTCGGAAGAGGATAACCAAGTCACCGGGAGTAGTAGGACAGGGAAAAGTACTTCCTGCCCAATGGACAATTCCAATCAAGCCAAGAGAGCTTTGCTGTCACACACACTCCCTCTTTTCTTACTATAGGAGAATTTACCCCCGTGCATCATGCGATGTGCAGTCAACTTGCCGGATGAGAAGAAGAAAGACAACGCCAAAGCGCCCGGGAACCGGACCCGGCCAACATCATTCTTGCGGGGCAGTGGAGCTAGCTGGGTACCCTGGCCACTGGGCCAGACCCCCGATGAAAAGGATGGCTGGCGTGGGATCGAGCAAACATCAGCTTGGCCTCCTGAATCCATCCCTCCAGTATACCGTTACTGCTGCTGGTTATTGGTTCATACGCAGCGGGGCGTACCGATTCCCACCGTGCCATTTAAGTTGGCACCACAAGTGGCTCCGGTTGACCCGTGGCTTTGGCCTTTCCCGACCAGCTGGCTGACTAGTGGCTCCTGCTCAGCTTAGTTTGCAGGGCATTGTGCCACCGTCCAGCTGGTTCGCCACGGCGTCCAAACTAAGCATAACAAGAAGATTACACAACAGGGAGTAACCAGGAAAGAACCGGGTGCCACAGAGTAACATCGGGATTCAACCAATGCTAGGTCCGCCAACCATCGTTGCATCTCAGTGCCTTGTGGCATCGAGCTGCAAAGGGTAGATGCTATTCTTGTCGTAGGGGTGCGACCACGTAAGTGAACAGACGCAGCTAGGCAGCCAGTGTAGGCCTGACTTGCCATTTGCGCTGCAAAACGAAGTAGATTGATTGTATACCAGCCAACTATCTACCCAGTACTGATCCTAACCTTTGCCAATCGCTCTTCAACCCGTCGAACAATCTCGGGGTCCGGTTTCGGCTTGTCTCGGCGAGGTCTGGAATGTATTAGCACTGCGTGGGCCACCTTAGCATGTATGACTTACGGATCTCGTATTGTTTCAGGTCCCTTCTCTTGCCCGCAACCGGAGCAATTCCTCTCTCCCGATCGGTACAATGTCGAGCACTTGTGACATGTATAGCGTACTCGCTGCCGCGCCTTCTTCCACGTCCGTGCAGGAGGTTCTGCGGGAGCATCGACATCGCCAGGATAACCATGCGGGTATTTGCTGAGTTTAGGTCTTAGTTCATTAGTATAGACACCTTCAACAAATGCAATTGGTCTGGGGTGGACGCACGGGTCGCGAGGGCACATTGTGCACCGAATATGCTGGCAAGTACTGCATTCCGTAGCATCCGGAGCGAACACAGTGCTACACTGATGACATGTACGGCGGACTCGTTGTCGGGTCGGGTGGTGGATGACATCCTGGCCGCCGGTGCGCGAAGGCAGCGTAAGAGGAGGTTGCTTGGGTTTATGCTGCACAGGGACAGTTTTGTGCAGTTTCTGCGCGACAATGGCCTGGAGGGCAGCTTGGGTGTCGTCCCGGTGGTCGTTGGTCTTGGTGGAGGGGTGGTGAGGGCAGCTCTTGCAGCGGACGTGCTGGCAGTTGACACAAACTTTGTTCGGGCCAAAGGTGGTCTGGCAGCGATGGCAGGTACGGCGCACTCGCATTCGGATAGGTCTGACAACACGCTGCACGGTCGTATCGCTAGGGGACCTCCATTCTCCAGGCTCCAGGGTCAATCCGTATTTCGCAAATAGAGCCCGCGCCTTCTCTTCTTGAATGGCGCCCCAGTTGGTGAAAACGGTCGCATCGGGTGTAGCTTTGACGGTAGGAGCCTGCGGGATACGTTGGGGACTGTAACGCAAGTCAGTGCCACAAAGTAACCAGAATTACTCGGCGATGAACATACGCGGGAGCTTGGCTTGGCTCGGGCTCTCTTGATTTCTGCATGACTGGCGAGGTGGTCCGGACAGTCGAGCTCCTCCTCAAAGCCATCTTCATGCGCTTAACATATTTCGACAAGCCATCATGCTTGCCTTCATTGGAAGGGTTGGGATCCTGTTGAGTCGACATTTCTCCGGTAATATCGACGATCTTTATTATTGCTTGCCGGTAGTATTTAAATCAGATCATGTGTGGCGTCGCACGACATCGACAAGGCGGGTGACTGGTTTGGCGGTGTCGGAAAAGGTCGAACAGTGTAAAGACACTTTTGGTGTGGGCGCTATTAATTCATACCAGCTGGAATCGGAAGGGATGGTGTTGAGTAATTATGGCGGTGATGGTAGGAATTCTGGGAAGCAAAAGCGCCGAAGAGCGACTACCCAGATCGGGGGGGGGGGGTAACGACAAAGTGGGTGGAATAAGGTGGGAAACGAGGGAGCCACCGGTTAAGTATGGCAGGTCGCACGGGCGTGTACCGTAACCGTAGGCTTGGGACAACCCGACAAGACGGTGAGATGGGTGAGAAAACCCAACAGGAAGGGTCGCAGGGAATTGGAACAGCCTGGGGGCAAATCCAACGGGTGATTGGCTGAAGGGCGGTCAGATCCTGTGGACCGGGCGTGGATGAGATGTCCGATGTAAAGTATAAGGTGTGTAAAGTATGTAGGGGAAGGGAGGTGACGTTGTGAAAGGATGGGTTGCAGTGGTTGCAGTGGAGGTGGTGGATTGCACGCTGGGAGCGGAACAAAAGTCACCGGCCAAGATGGTGGAAAACTGAAGATTCACGACTGACTGACTGACGGGGAGGAGAGGAAGATAAAAAGAAGGCAACGACCAGCGCGAGCCGAACGTCAAATAGAAGCCGAACAGACTTTCTGGGGGAACCGGACGAGCGAGAGAGGGGTGGGTAAGGAAGTGGTATGTAAAGTAACAGTCAGTAAGTAAAAGTAAGAGTGGCAGGCGCCTAAAGTAGTAACAAAGTATGGCACATGGCTTCTCACCCGACACTCTTTTCTATACCGTTGTAGTTATTTTCAGTTTATTTTAATTTCCCTATCCTCTCTTTAATTTTATTCTCTTATTTTTGTATTTATTTTCCTTTCTTCTCCCCTACTTGTATTGATATGCACCTTCTAGATTCACCTCTGCTTTATTAAGGACACCAACGGACCAAACATTGACATCAACCGGAGCCTCTACTAACAAAGTCAAAACTATGGATTAATTCCCCCCACCCACTTATAGCCACCCAGTCTATTCTCACTAGGAAGACTCCATACCCAGCTCCTATCGAAAATCAACTGCCTGTTCTCCGTGAAGAAACCAACGATCAGTTACCATGGCAGGAAGCAGCACGATCCGAGAGGGAAACAAAGGAAGTAAAGTAAAGAAGTAGCAGAAACGCTAGAATCAAGAATCAAGACCGATTAGGCAAAGCCGTGCACCTCTGTTTTGCCGATGGGCCAATCTGGTCAGGAGCTGGTTGGTTGATATACGCCTCTACATCCTCATGCAGCATGATGACCAGCAACTAGCGGGCGAACCGATGCGACGGGGCGCTTTGGGGGGTAGAAAGATGGAGTCTAATGCCGTGGCACCCTACCCACTCTGGAACAATGCCCGAACCCACCGCGTCTCGCCCGCGGGTCTGAAGAAGGTCGCGCCGGAAGGGGTGTTGTTCTGTATTTTGCTGATCCGGAATATTATCAGTTCGATGCTCCTGATCTTGAGTGGTTTATAAAAGTTAGGAATGAACAGGAACATGACATCCTTTCATATCCGCGTGGTCGGAATCGGATGCTGCTGCTGCTGAGGATGATGTCAGCTGGAAAATGTGAGCGGTTACCAAACATAACTACCGTGTATTTTCCGGGATATGCTTCAGACAACCAAAGCCCGTGTATTTTACATTTTGTCACATACCCCAACAGCCACGAAGCTGCAAGAAGACGATAGTGATGGGAATAATAGCAACACTCTAGTACGGAGTACAGAGTACATAGTGGTCAGTTATTAACGGTCCAAGGCTACCAAAAATGTTTCTGTGCATGGACTGGAGAGGATGACAACTGATTATGAGCAAATGGAGAAGAACCCTTACGTAGATGGCGGTGCCGCTGCTGCAGACAACATGATGAAATGAATCATTGGGGGGTGCTTTACCCTGGCTCGGTTCGGTTTACTTCAATTTCACGCCAGGATAGCGATGCGCCGTTCAATCAGGAAGCCCCATGAAGGAATACCTCCTGAGCTGAGACTCAACTCACTTCGACCGAAGATCCGGCCGAAGGACAGACAACTTCTTCTAAGGAGCGAAGCCTACCAATTTATATTATATTAACTGTACCCGGGAACCGATTCCTAGTGAGAACTCAAAAGAATTGCAGTGTCATCATTGTGTCTGTCTCGACTGGTGTTGTTCACAAACGACTATCCCAAATCTTCCAACAATTCATGCATAAATTCTGGTGTGACAATAACTTCTGACATTCCCTAGGAAGGATAACAAGGGACCAACTTATTTTCCAGTCTTGACTACTACAAAGTAAACCCCGATATTGTAGACATCTCTAACAGTCTAACTACGTATCTACTCAATCACAACGAACTAAGTCACAAAGTAGGCTAAGTCAGTCCTACCCGCCCGGAAATTCTAGACTCCCTGAACCAACAACTCATCACACAACGCTGAAACCATAGTATGTACTAATGTACGTCTCCATACCGAGGTATCCCGACAGATTGGTCTAGTTACTTACTCAGTGTAAATACAGCATTCCATTCATCCATACAGCTAGACCATGCATTGCATAATGCATGACACCACACCACACCACACCACGATTTCTACCCTACCCTACCAAAGAAAACCAAAAAGAAAAAATAAAATAAATTAGAAACGGCAACGGCTTCATGCAGCCTGTCTTGTTCTGCTGCAGTGTAGGCGCCAACTCAACACGCTAGATAAGTACTTACTTACCTGCACATTCATTCATTCATTCCTTTGTAAGTCATAGGCACTGACCCTGTAAGTAAGTATGTATGTAAGTATGTATCCAAGCGGAAAAAGTTACTAGTAGCACGTAAGTATAAGAATTTGTCAGTAGTGAAGAAAAAAAAACATGAAGCAACGGAAGAACTTTAACTTGCAGCTGAGCGCCTGACGGAGTAGATCGGAGAAATTATGAACCTACCGGATTGCGTTGGAGGGCTAGGTTGGCTTTTTGCTCCACTGGTTTGTTTGTACTTTGTAGTTGGAGGGTGGGTTGGTGTTTTGTGGGTATATAGTAAATAAGGATTATCTTTGTTGTTGTGGACACTGGACACATCTTTTGATAGTGATGATGATGGTGGTTGTGGTGTTGTTATGCTTATTGTTGGAACCGTGGTTCTGGTTTTATTATTGCTCCTTGCTTTTGAGGGAGGAGCTTTTTGTTGTTGATTGTTGATTCGGGAAACCCGACCGGAGGTACTTAGTCGTAGCTAAGTGACAATTGAGTACTTAGATAGTAAGTAGATAGGTTAGAAAGATAGCCGACAGTCAACTATCAACTAGACTACAAGATACATAAGTACTCCTCTCTATTGACTTCACCATCGTACCGAATATCCGGAAACCAAACAATAAAAGATGGAACCCGGTGCCAAACACCCGGGTACACTGGACTCGATCTATCAGACATCAGCACTTCATCACACCTTAGAATACTTAGTAACCCGTAATCTGCAGGGCTGAATAATTAATTAATATAACTACAACAAAGAAACAAAAAAGAAGCAATCATGCTGAACATCACACCACACCCCCTTAGTAATCAATCAATCAGTCAATAAGCTTCAAACACAGCTGACCGACCACCGATCTCCGTCCGGGTCAGTCAGTCACGAAGTAAGAAAAAGAGGGAAGGGGTTAAGTAGGAAAGGGGAAGAGCATGTACCCAATCATAATTCAGTCTTATTCTGTGTATGGTGCAGAGTGCAGACAGGCCCGGGATTTCCAGTCCCAGCGCCGCGGAGAGCACCGAACACAACTGAACCTTCAACCTACTCCGTAAAGAATGTCGAGGGGGGCTGTCAGAACTCCTGCCTTAAGAGGAATGGTGAGATGTTGGTGTAGTGGAGATCCATTGGGTGTGTGGGGGCCGGGTATGGAGCTAGTATTGATGGTGTTATTTATGTATGTATCATGTATGTATGTTGGATTGGTTTTACGAGTTACTTAGCTATGTACTAGTTAGCTTTGGAGAAGGGTAGATTAGGATAGAGGAGGTAGAAGAAGTATGGAAGGTTCTATGGCTTCGATTGATTAATTGATTGATGTGTCTTAGGTAAGTAGAGATACATTGTGTTATCTCGTGATCATGTGTCTGTGTCTATGTTACATTGCATGCAATTATCATTTCTACTGGTCTACCTTTGTCCTTGTAGTTCTACTACATCTCATTCACCCGGAAAAGGTATCCCAATAATATGTTCAATCTCATTTCACCTCACCTTATGAGTGTAGGATGAGATATTTTCCCTCATCCAACCTAGACACGTTCAATTCAGTAACACTTATCTTATTACTGGCAATCTACCCGACTGCTATACACCCTTCCCTCGACATCACCATCATCCATTAACTGATAGAAATCAAGCAATGACAACATCTACTCCGCACCCCACAAAACAACACCATACACTATAGTAGATACTACTACAGACAATCCCTAAGTAAAAAGTAGATAGATATCCCCAACAAAATAAACCGAAACAAGAAACAAAAAAACAAAAAACAAGGTTCAAGGCGCATATTTGCCCGAGTGGATCCAACCCAACCCAACCAGATGGTTCAGTTTAAACTACTAAGTAACTTATTCCCAGGATAGAACATGTCAAACAGTCAAATCTGGAAAAGGATTCCGTGATTACTTTCTATCTACTGAAGTAGGCGGTTCTTACACCTTGTGTGTATGTGTATATCATGGTAAGGCTATTTTATCGATAGTTATGCAAGGGATTACAAGAGTTGGTAATGACAAATCCTGTCGGGGAAATTGTGATTGCTTATGAATCGTTTTGGGGTTGTTTTTGGGTAAGTAGATATGTTTTATGCCTCGGTTTGGTTCCTAAAAGTACTGTGATGTTGTGTTCAGTTCGTGAAAGACTACTGAGCTCCTATTGAGGTATCCGAATCTAACCTGTTCATGTATACAATGCCAGCACTATAATTATAATGTAAACGCAGGTCCTGAATGACCAATGAATAGGCCTCAGAGCCTACCACACGGTAGTATGCCTAATCCGCACTTTGCAGCTTCGACTCGATCGAGATAATATCATCCTCCTCATACACCTCAATCACCCGGTTAACCTCCGCCGTATTGCGCATCAACTCGACAGCACCCGCATACATCATGCGCTGATTCGGGTTGCAGTTCTCGGGGAGGTAGTAGAGCATGACGTAAGGAACCGTAGGACGGCCGGAAGCCTGATGCCAGAATTATACGTTAGGTCTATTTCACTTGTCCAGTTGATATATATAGATTACTCACCAAGGTCAGGGGATAGCTGAGGAGGATAAACCGAGGAGACGATTCCGGAAGCTCATCGGCTACATCCTCCATCTTGGAGTAAACCTCGCCATCTTCAGGTCGAATCTCCTGGGTCTTGTTATCGATGATATCTGTCAACCTGTTGTCAACCACCCATTGTTCTGGTATCCGACGTGAGGCGAACAAGTTCGCGCGATAGCTGGACGGTTGTGCTCGTAAGATAGATAGGTAGGTAGGTAGGTAGAGAGCGGGGCTATGGAGGAACGACAGGAGACGGGATCCTACAAATAATAGCCTGCGGATCCTTGGCGCGAGAGGTTCCCAAGCGGAACTTGCGAAGCTTTTCTTTCGTCTCGGGGGAGAAGGAGTATAGTCGTGATTCAGACTGCATGGAGAGAAGCTCAGGTTAGCAGGGGGGAGGAAGCGGGCACGCGATGCGGGGCAGTCCAACCACTTACCATGTTGTGAAAGGGTGATGCGACAGCAGGGCGGAAGCAGAAACAGGATATTCGGAATTGCGCTAGAAGCAAGAGGAGTAAAAATCGGTAAACCCCCAGACGGGATGTGAGCGGGGATGGACGGGGGAGCTATCTGGTTGGGGATGAATTTGACCGAAGAGACGAAGGAGGAACAAGCAAGTGGTGGTTGCTCCGCGTTTTCGGCCCGGTGGGATGAAAGGCGCGGCACTTCTCCACCTCCTCCTCGCTCTCCTTCACTTCCCATTCAATAATTCTCCTCCCCGCCCGCGCTTGTTTGTTACTCCGCCATTCTTCTCCTCCTCCCTTCTCCCTCATGTTCAGTCGTCTCGGTCAAGTCGCCCGCCATCTTACTCGACCGTCTCTCAACCTCTCTTCCACGCCGACCTTCACCTCGCCCTCCCTGACCCCGCCCCTGCTTCGTACACCATCCCCCAAAATGACATCATCCGTCCTCCCGAAGAATAAGAGGACCATTCACACGGCGGCATGTCTGATCATTGGTGACGAGGTTCTTGGTGGAAAGGTAAGAAGCGAATAAGTTGTCTGCTGTTCAGTTCTTTTCCATGTTCCCTTAGGCATCGTGCATACCCACGTCCTTGGCTTGGACTGACGATTTCCGAACTGCCAGACCATCGACACCAACTCCGCCTTCTTCGCCAAGTTCTGCTTCTCCCTCGGCATCCAACTGAAGCGCATTGAAGTGATTGCCGACGATGAGAGCGAGATTATTGAAGCAGTGCGACGTATGAGCGACCGCTATGACTTCGTCGTTACCAGTGGAGGCATTGGCCCAACGTCCGTACACCCCCACATTGATTAACATAACCCCCACGCGATATGAATACTGCATATGGCTTGAAAAGCTGACTGGTATATGATGTGAATCGCAAAAGCCACGACGACATCACCTACGAATCGATAGCCAAGGCCTTTGGTCTGAACCTAAAGCTTCACCAAGCCGCCTTCGAGCGTATGAAGAAGCTCTCCAAGCCCCATCCCATGCAACCAAACTTCGACTGGGATACTCCCTCACCTAGTCTGACGGCGAAGCTGCGCATGGTCGAGATCCCTCACGACGAGTCTGTGCCTCTGGAGGAACAGGCCGTTTTCGTTGCGGATGATATGTGGGTGCCCATTGCTATCGTCAACGGCAACGTTCATATCCTTCCTGGTGTTCCTCGTCTCTTCGAAAGGCTACTCGAGCATCTCAAGCCGAATTTGTTGCCTCGCTTGGTCAACCCGGAGGGTAAGGGCATCTATCGCTACCTGTTCAGCACACCACTCCCGGAGAGTACGGTCGCCCCCTACCTGACGGAACTTGCTACTCGTGTTGCTTCGAAGAACATCAAAGTTGGCAGTTACCCCCGGTGGGGTAATAAGCGCAACACTGTGACTCTGGTCGGCACTGACAAGGAGTTCATGGACTCGCTTATCGCAGAGGTGGAGCAGAATGTCGAGGGAACCAAGGTAACTCGAGAGGATGAGCTTGACCCTCCCTCGGACGCTGAGGAGGGCAAATAAGTGAACGTTGGCGGTTATAGTATGTCTTTCCAAACAATAGTTGCTAGATTTGTAGACAATGACACGCTATTCCGAATATGTCATGGTAGCAGAGTTGTCTGGACTTGCGTAGATGCGTTATTCTCGACAGTATCCATCTACATCTGCCATTAGAACGCGTGCTGTTTAAACGTACCACTCACCACTCAGATGTTGTTAAGGTTCGAAGACCAGCCACCAAATCTCCAAGACATCACCCAGTAACCCACTATAAGATACTAACCACAGAAGAGAAGAATGAAGGCTTATTCTCGGAGACCAAAATTCCAGAATCAAATAAGATTACCCAATAGTTCAAGTGTATACATGAAGGAAGAAAACCAGACAGACTAAGATAGAGATGCTAAGGCGCGCCGCTGCTGAGTGCAGAATAGGGGAAACAAAACCAGAGACAGACCAAAACGAAAGAGGGGAAGAGGGAAGAAGGGAAAACGGGCAGAGACGTTAGGTGGCACAATGATATCGCAACGTCTAAACACCTGACAGACGGAAGTATCAACGTGCAGTTCATCTCGCCGAAAAAGGTTCAGCAGGTGAGATCCCGCCCAACAGAGTGCAAAGTTGGTAAATGAACGAAAGGACCAAACGTATCCCGGATGCATATAGGAAAGAGATCAATGAAGATGAAAGTAGAGACGAAAAGTTAAGATAATCAGCGGTTGCTGAATGTGCAAAAGATCTGAATTGCTCGTCCAGCGTGGCCGACAAGACGAAAAGGAAGGATGAATCTGCAGCTCCGGATAGTACCACAATGCGGACCGCGACAATAGCGTACCTATATTAATGCACAGATCTATTGACAGGCTCCGTTCTCGTCCTTTCAAAGATCGAGAAATCGTCAAAGAAAAATCAATCTTCCAAAAAGAGGTAATAATAATAAACAAAATAGAGGAACAAAGGGGGAATCGAACGTTCATGGAGACGATGGCGGCATTAGGGTGTGAGAGCAGACATCATCTGAGAGTGAGGCTCGTATGGTATAATGATCACAAAATCAAAACGCGTTGACAAGCCACATGTTGCAGCAAGGCAAGTGGCCCGTCTCTGTTGCTGACCTCTCTTTCCAACCGGGGGTGACTGTATGTGTTTTTGCTTTCCTTCCGTATCTCGACCTGTATGTATTTCTTTTAGATCCAACGCCTGTCCCATTACATAATTATACATTTTCCACAGCAGCCAGCGTCATCGCCAGGCTCGCTGACGTCCATTTTTCCTTCCGGGGCGCGTGAGCCGCCACCCGCGCCAGACGGGTACGATGACATCTCTTTGTTGAACCGACGAATCTCGCGCACCAGGTCGTAGAAAGCGTTCTCAACGTTGATACGGGACTTGGCGGATGTCTCGATGAACTTGCAGCCGAACTGCCGTGCTAGAGCCTCACCCTCTGTAGAGATAGAATCGTCAGCCAAAACCTCCCGCGACAAGCAGATGCTAGGCCAGAGAACCCACCTTCTTCGGAAACAGCCCTCTCCTTTTCCAAATCGCACTTGTTGCCGACCACGATGATGGGGAAGTAGTCCTTATCCTTGACTCGCAGGATCTGTTGTTGGAAAGTCATAATTTCCTCGAATGATTGGCGCGACGTTATCGAGTAGACGAGAAGGAAACCTTCGCCGGTTCGCATGTACTGTTCACGCATCGCCGAGTACTCCTCCTGTCCGGCAGTATCTAGGACGTCCAACAATGCCACCTCCTCGTCGATGACGCACTGCTTGCGGTAGGAATCTGTTCAAACACGGATCGAAAGATAAGCCACACGGTCGGAAAGGTACAGCAGAGCTCAGCGCCCACCTTCAATTGTCGGGTCATATTCATCCACGAAGTGGCTCTGGATCAATTGGATGGTCAAGCATGACTTTCCGACACCACCACCACCGACGACGACGAGTTTGTATTCTCTTAAAAACTATATGCGACCGAGAAGTGAGCGATTCGTCATGTTTCCGGGGGGGCGAGGGAGTTCGGAGAACATGGAGAGAAAGTGAAAGTCGGGAAGGGAGGTGACAGGAGGCACATGGAAGCTAATGACGGAAAGTGGAAAGCGCAGCGACAGGGCTTACCTTTGAAGCCATTCTGGTAGGTTCTGGCTTGGTATTATGCTGTGAGGGAGGGAAGGGGAAAGAGGGGGAGAGAAAGAGAAGCGGTTAATCGAAGCTATCCCAACAGGAGCTGTGACAGCGGGTCGAAGGAGCAGCAACACAAATTTCTTTTGCAGAAAGAGACAAGACGAGCAAGAGTCGGGGCCCAGGTCGTCGGGGGTTTCGCGCAAAGCAAAGGCGCCTAAAGGGCAGTCCACAGCAACGGCGGGTCTAGTTGATTAGGCCATGCTTAAAGCAGCGGACTGGGGGGGTAGTAGAAGCAGAAGTGCGTGTGGGAAGCAGGATCCAGGGGGGGGTCGTGGAACTTTGCAGGCAGGCGGGAATTGAAGGCGAACCGGCAGGGTTTCTGCGTAGTCTGCAGTTCGTCTTGACCCAATTCGTCCTAAGCGACCAGGGAAGATGGAAAGTCAAAGGGAACTACTTAGAACACCTTCGAGAATCAGGGTGGATTCAAGGAGGAGAAGAAGAAGAAAGAATAAAAAAAGAAAGTAAAAAGAAAAAGAGGGAAAAGGGAAAGCGAATGGGGTGGAGAGACTTGGGGAGGGGAAAGGGGAGGGAGGAGACACAGAGAGAGAGAGAGAGGATGATGATTAAGGAGAGTTAAGCCAACTGAGGAACGGAGGTGGGGATAGGCAGGGCAGCCCAGAAAGGAGGAAGAGTCTAGATAGTCAACTACTGAATACTAACTAATTAGTAGTGGACAGACAGACTGTCCAGTAGTAAGTAGTAAGTAGTAGTATGATTGGAGAGGGATAATTCCTTCCAGAGAACACAAGCCAAAGTCACAAAATGAAATAACTATGTAAATAATAATTATTAACCGCGGGATAAGCGCCTTGATTGGTGTGGAACAACCCCTACCGACGCAGTGAAAAGAGCGCACTTCCATGGAGAAATTGATATGATGCGGCTGCTGATTGGAAGGAAGGGGATGTCGAAGGTTCGCCAGAATTAATCTTACCATAATCACTAATGATATGATAATCCTCCTAGTGCAGGAGTCGGTTAAGTACAAAGGTCCTAGTCTTATCTGACTACTGCTGCTGCTGCTACTGCTGGTCTTAAAAACAACAGCTTGCCTCCGATTAGTGGGTAGGAACTATGAGTACTTACTGAATTGAAAGGGGGGAGAAGAAGGGAAGGGGAGAGACAGAGAGACAGAGAAAGAGAAAGAGATGAGCAGTGGGTGTGGCATTAACCGGCAACGCGTGTGGATTCCCACCAATCCAGCCAACTGTTTAATTTCACTGGTCCCGGTTGGCCCACCCGCCGATAATTAACCTCAATCGTTCGATCGCAAGATATGAACCTGAACAAGCCAGCAGTCAGAAGTAGATTCCCCAGACAGACAACCTAGTGATTAGAATGGTTCTGTCAATCCTAGTACTACTAATCTTCACTCAGTCTGATCATCCTTGTTAGGTTACTGCAACGGTATTGGAACAAAATTGAGTCAGTCAGTCGGTGGGAAGAGGAGGAGGGAAAATGGTTGCATAGTGAGGTAGCCTGAAAAAAGGGGCCGGGGATCGAATACCCAGGGCACACCCAAGATTAATGATCCATTGGGTC